CGTGGGGGACGGGGGCCTGGGTACGGGGCGAGAGAGGGGAGGGGGAACTGCGTGGGGACCTGTACTGGGGGGCTTGGTTGCTCCCTGTCTCCCTCCCAGGGGGGGGAGGGGAGGCGACGTCCTCTGTACTATGTTGTTGTTGCAGCGAGGTGGCCGGTTATACATCCCATACTTGAGAATCCCTATCCTGTTTGTTTGCTTGTGTTCACAGGTCACCCCCCGCCCCCCCCCTCAGGTGAGACGCTTCAATAGTAAGGAGCAATGTGGGTGATGCGGGGGATGGGACAACAAGTTCCCCATGCTAAAAGATGAGGCTCTTTACAGAGAGAAGAGAGCAGAGAAAAATAGCACAGTTTCAAGAGAGAGAGGAGAGAAGAGAAGAGGGACCGAAAGAGGGGAGTAGACAGAGAGAAACAGAGTCGAAGCGTAGCAGAGGAGAGCCAGCCGCACAGATCAAAAGAAAGATGGGTGGATGAGAGATTAAGATGGAAGAGAGGAATAGATGGATGGGGAATAAAATAGACAAAAAAATCCCTTAATAAAAAAAATAATTTTTCCATAATCTTGTTTTATTCTTATAGCTATAGCTCCGGGTGGCAGCTCTCATACCATCACCCTGGGGCGCCCCCCCCCCCCCCCTCCCCCCCCCCCACCCCCCCCCCGCCGCGCACCAACGGATTTGGTCAGGGTGCTGCAAGGGGGAAGAGCTATGGATCTGCGTGTGTAGGAAGGCAAACTGGAGTACAGATTTATCCTAGAAACTTTCACCAACCAGGGTCTCCATGATGCACGCCAGATCTTCTTTTTTTTTTCTGCCTGCCGATCCAGGATTATTAAAATTTAGGGTCTTGGATCCACGTGTGCGTTTTTTCAGTATCTGGTTGACAGATTCGGCGGTTCAAACAGCACCCACCTTCAGTCAAGAGGGGTCCACGCACCGGGTTACACCAAGTATGTTACCTTAGCGAGACGATTTGGAATATATTCTGTTTAAGATTGCTGATTTATTTTTTTTTTTTTTTTCTGTATTTTGTTTGTATTTTTAATTTTTTTCTTTTTTTTTTTACTTTTTTTTTTTTTTTTTTCGTTCTATTTTTATTTTTTTTTTTATATTTTTTTTATTTTATTTTTTATTATTATTTTCTATTATATTTTTATATTTATTTATTTTTATATTTTATTTTATTTTATTTGTTTTTGTTGTTTTTATTATTTTTTTTTTATTATTTTATTTTTTTTTTTTATTTTTTTATTGTTTTTTATTTTTTTTTTTTATTTTTTTGTTATTTTTCTTTTATTTTATTTGGTGTTATTTTATTTATTTTATTTTTTTTTTTTTGTTATTATTTATTGGTGTTGTTTTTATTTTATTATTTTTTATTTTTTTTTTATTTATATTATTTTTTTTATTTATTTTTCATTTTATTTTATTTTTAGATTTTATTTTTTTTTCTATTTATTGTTATTTTATTTATTATTGTTTGTTTTCTTATTTTATTTTTTTATTTTTGATTTTTTTTATATATTTTTTTTTTTTTGTTTTATTTTTTTTTGTTTTCTTGTATTATTTCTATGTATTTTTCCTTTTATTTTTTTATTTGTATTTTGTGTTGTTTTTTTTTTTTTTGTTTTTTTTTTTTGTTGGATGTCTGGAAATTGGATTGGATCAGATCCAGCTATCTAAACCTCCAAAACTCTGGAAGTTATAGATACCTATTTCCCCTTGAGGGACATCCTCCTCATTCCCCACCACGACCTCCTATGGGGGCCACTCGGCTTTTTTTACTCCTTAGGGAAAACACCTCCTTCTCCATTGTTGCTGTTTGTTTTTGTTTTGTGTTAAATAAATTATTTTGAAGGGGTATTATACTCCTTTTAGAGTTTTTTTTGTTTTTTTTTTTTTTTTTTTTTGTTTTGAGATTTGTTTGTTTGTTTGTTTTGGCGTGAGATGTAGTCTTATTTCTTGTGATTTTTGTGTTGTTTTTATTGAGGTTTTTTTGTGTTTTTTTGTTTTGTTGTGTGGGTTTGTTTTTTTTTTTTTGTTTTTTATTTTATTTTGTTTTTTTGAGACTGGTGTTTGTTTTTTTTTTTGTTTTTTTGTTTTATTTTGCTGTGTAGTATTTTTTGGTAGTTTTTTGGTTTTTTTTTGAGATTTTGAGAAACTGTATTTGCTAATAATTAGTTTCTGTTTCGCTATTTGTTTGAATTGTTGGCGTTTTTTCTTGCCATTGTTTTGGTCTTCTTTATCCCCCCTCCCCTCCTCATTGTTCTTTCACGGCTCCCTTCCCTCCTCCCTTTCTTCCACCAATCAATAGTGTCAGAGACAGAATACATAGGAGGGTAGGGGACCACATGGATGGAAACAACACACTTCGGTAGATGGTAAGTACAGGTAGTAACCGTTCAGCCGAAAAACAGGGGGTCCCTAGAGTGCTGGGGTCTTAAGTGCAACAGTCATAACAGTAGCAAATTCCACGGCTACAAGAATAGTTCTTAATGTGCAGGTTTTAAAGTGCATCAGAATATTAAAGTGCAATAAGTCAAAAACTTAGCCCTCAATGTTACTAAAGTGCAGCAGGAGGGCACGGGAAGGTAAAGTGCAACTCAGTCGGCAATGGAGGCAGGCGCCTTTAAAGTGCTATGTAATGATCTTATTCCCACATTAGCAGCAAAGTATGGAGGAGCTATAACATGCGATATTCACAATATGTAAACACGATACTCAAAGATTGACAATTGACAAATCGTTATGATTCAGATG